AAAAAAAAAAAAAAAGGATTAAAATACAGCACCCATAAATCTAAAAGCGAAATTCAAAAAAGAATGAAAGAGATGTTACCTTTACTCAGTAAATTGGAGGTAACTGGTGACCAAAAATTTTCCAAAACCCTAATTTCCGATGATCTTCACCCAACCGTGTCAGGTAGATACGAAATTTGGCGAAATTTGTTAAAAATAATATATATATTTTTTCCTTTTACAAAAGAAATATCTTAATTGGAGTATAGAGGAATACTCTCTTATCCAGCACGAGTACGTGTTAATGTGTCCACCGTTTATGTCACATACACACGTTACTGAGTTAATCAAATAACGATAAAGTATTGTATGATAATAATAGTTAATTTAGAATACTTGTGTTTTTATAAATTGGGTATAATTTTTTTCTCAAACATAATAAGACTAGTACAACTCTCGTGTATTACACAGGTGTTTGCTATTTTTTTTCTTAAAATCTAAAATTAATGAGAAAAAATAATTAAAAATTTAAATACCTTTATAAAAAAATATATTATTATATATTTAGTATGCCATTTTTTATTTGTGCGACATACATGTGTTATATTATAATAATTTTTTTAACTTACAAATATAACTACATTAAACATAAATATATCATATCAATATTATTTGTCCAAACCTAATTACGAAGCATGATTTTTCGCCAAGTAAGATTCTGAAGCATCAGAACAATCACGTAGGCTCAGCGCATTCAGCAATTATATATAGGGAGGATAGTAAAAAACACAATCTTTTTCAAATTCTCAAATAGTGTGTATATGTGGACAAGTGATATATTTTTAAAAGGTCAAGTGATATATTTCTCTATGAATAAAACAGTATCCTTTTAAATTTTGCAACGAAAATATATATATATATTTTTTCATACGAAAAATCAGTCAGATATTTAAAATGATTTTTGAGTTTGTATTTAAATCCCCAAAACTAAAAGTGTTGAGCTAAAAGAATCGTGTTGTATTGACATAAAACAATGACATAAACTTTAACGTATTTTATACACAATAATACTTCAAAAATTAACGACCACTAAACATATACATCATTTCATGTATCTAATGTGTATAATACTAGTTTGACATAATAATTTGACATAATGGTTGGAATAGGTGTAAGTAAACGTAAGAGTTGTTGATTTTAAAGTTTACGTGCACTACAAGAAATTGTCAAAATGCCAACGGAAATTACCAACAGAAATTTTTCTGTTGGGGATTACCAACGGATTACCAACGAATTACCAACGTATTATATGTATAATTTTTGTATACAGATTACAAACAGAATACTAACAAAATATAGCAACGGCAAATTATATCTTTGTATTCTGTTGGAAAATAGTGACGAAAATATTCCGTTAGTAAACACAAACAAAATACCAATAGAATAGCAACAAAGTCTTCCAATATTATATTAGCAACAGATTAGTCCGTTGGTAAATAGCGACGGATGTTTTCCGTTGGCAAATGGCAACGGATTAGCAACAGACACCTTCAATATATTACTAGCAACAGATTATTCCGTTGATAAATAGCAACGGATATTTTCAGTTGGCAAATAGCAACGGATTAGCAACAGACACCTTCAATGTATTACTAGTAACAGATTATTCCGTTGGTAAATAGCAACGGATATTTTCCGTTGGTAAATAGCAACGGATTAGCAACAGAAACCTTCAATGTATTACTAGCAACAAATTATTCCGTTGGTAAATAGCAACGGATATTTTCCGTTGGCAAATAGCAACGAATTAGCAACATACACCTTCAACATATTATTAGCAACAGATTATTTCGTTGGCAAATAGCAACGGATATTTTTCGTTGGCAAATAGCAACGGATTAGCAACAGACACCTTCAACATATTATTAGCAACAGATTATTCCGTTAGTAAATAGCATCGAATTTTCCGGTTCACAAATAGCAACGGATTAGCAACAAACACCTTCAACATATTATTATGAACAGATTATTCCTATGGTAAATAGCAACAGATTTTTTTTTGTTGACAAATAGCAAGAACAACAACAAAGTCTTTCAACATTGTACATTTATTATTTTATCAACGTACAGTGTAGTATACGCGTTTATTACTTGTAAATTATTACACTAGATATTAAAGTCAAGAA